CAGGTCCCGCCAGCTGGCGCCAAGCAGCCCGCGGTCCAGGGCCCTTTTCTCATCCTCCTGCTCCTGTTCCCCCTGCGGCTCCACGAGCGAGGGTGAGGAAGGGCGAGCTCGAAAATGAAGTAGAGGTGCGAGGATGAGGGGGGAGGAGGGAAGCGCCGATGAGGTTGCCGCAACTTCCAACGACACTCTTTTGAGAAGCACATATGGCATCATGTAGGAACAAAGCGGTTAGGCCAAATATTGAGAATTGCATTTGAAGTCTGCCCTGCCAGGGCAGGGTTCACACGTGTCCGCCCACTCCCATCTCCGCCCCTCTCTTTTTCCCGGCGGAGCCGGGTGAAATTCCGTGCCCGCTGGTGACTGCCTGACTCGCTGACTGACTGATTGACTGACTGACTGACTGAACGTCAGGAGACCACGTCTGACAACGAATTTCAGACCGCCCGCGGGAGCGTGCAACCGCAACCAGGCGACGCATTTCATCCCGGCCGTGCAAACGCAACCGCAACCGCAACCAGGCGACGCATTTCAACCGACCCGCGTAACCGCAACCGCAACCGCAACCAGGCGACGCATTTCATCCCGGCCGTGCAACCGCAACCGCAACCGCAACCAGGCGACGCATTTCAACCGACCCGCGTAACCGCAACCGCAACCGCAACCAGGCGATGCATTTCAACCCGCCCGCTCAACCGCAACCGCAAGCGCAGCCCGGCGACGCATTTCAACCCGCCTTTGCAACCGCAGCCGCAACCGCAAGCCGGCGACAAATTTCAACCCGCTTTTGCAACCGCAGGTGCAACCGCAACCAGGCGACACATTTCAACGCGCCCGCGCAACCGCAACCGCAACCGAAACAAGGCGACACATGTCAACCCGCCCGCGCAACCGCAACCGCAACCAGGCGACGCATTTCATCCCGCCCGCGCAACGGCAACCGCAACCAGGCGACACATTTCTACCCGCCCGCGCAACCGCAACCGCAACCGCAACCAGGCGACAAATTTCAATCCGCTCCCGCAGCCGCAACCGCAACCGCAACCAGGTGACGCATTTCAACCCGCCCGCGCAACCGCAACCGAAGCCCAACTAAGCGACGCATTTCAACCCGCTTTCGCAACCTCAACTACAACCGCAACCAGGCGACGCATGTCAATCCGTCCGCTCGACCCCAACCGCAAACGCAACCAGGCGACGCATTTCTACCCGCCCGCGCGCGTAAATGCAGCCGCAATTTGGCGACGCATTTCAACCCTCCCGCGCAAGCGCAACCGCAACCTCAACTAGGCGACAGGTTTCAACCCGCCACTCAACCGCAACCGCAACCGGAACCAGGCGACATATGTCAACCTGCCTTTGCAACCGCAGCCGCAACCGCAAACGGGCGACACATGTCAACCCGCCCGCTCAACCGCAACCGCAACCGCAACCAGGCGACGCATTTCAACGCGCCCGCGCGCGCAACCGCAACCGCAACCAGGCGACACATTCCAAGCAGGCAGCACAACCGCAACCGCAACAGCAACCGCAACCGCAACCGCAGCAACAACCAGGCGACACATTTCAACCCGCCCGCCTACCCGCAACCGCAACCGCAATAGGCGACAAATTTCAGCCCAGCCGCGCAATCTCAATCCAGTTTCGCAGCCGCAGACGCAGTCACAACCAGGCGACGCCTTTCGACCCGCCCGCGCACGCAACCGCCCGCAACGGGGCGACACATTCCAACCCGCCCGCGCAAGCGCAACCGCAACCGCAACCAGGCGACACATTTCAACCCGCCCGCGCAACCGCAACTGCAACCGCAACCAGGCGATGCATTTCAACCCGTCCGCGAAACCGCAACCAACCGCAACCAGGCGACGCATTTCAACCCGCCATTTCAACCCGCCCGCGCAACCGCAACGGCAACCGCAACCAGGCGCCACATTTTAACCCGCCCGCGCGCGCAACAGCAACCGCAACCAACGGACAAATTTCAAACCGGCCGCGCAGCTTCAACCCGCCCCCTCAACCGCAACCGCAACCAGGCGACGCACTTCAGCCCGCCCGCGCGCACAACCGACATCGCAACCAGGCGCGACACATGTCAACCCGCCCGCGCAACCGCAACCGCAACCGCAACCAGGTGACGCATTTCAACGCGCCCTCGCAACCGCAACCGCCCGCAACGGGGCGACGCGTTTCAACTCGCCCGCGCAACCGCAACCGCAACAGAAACTAGTCGACGCAGTTCAACCCGCCTTCGCAACCGCAACCGCAACCGCAACGAAGCGACACATGTCAACCCGCCCTCGCAACCGCCCGCAACGGGGCGACACATTTCTACCCGCCCGCGCGACCGCAACCGCAACCAGGCGATGCTTTTCAGCCCGGCCGCGGGCGCGCGCATCCGCAACCGCCCCTCGCCGGCGCGTGCTCGGCGCCCCCGCCGCGCGTCCGAGGCGCCCGCCCTGCGATTTTCTCGGGCTGCGCGAGAGGGGCGGGGAGGGCGAAGATGACGCTGAGCAGGAGTAGAAGTCATAGGGTCCCACGGTCACCTAACGTGGGGTCCATGCTTGGTCCTGCTCTTAGGGCCTTCCGAGTCCTTATCGTGGCCATCCAAGCCCTTGACTTTAGGCCATCCGGCCTTATAATTCAGGCCTCCCGGCCCCCAACTTCAGGCCATCCGGCCCTTAATTTTAGGTCATCGAGCTCTGAATTTTAGGCCTCCTGGCCCTGCCCCACTGACATTCCGAGGCGACCTCGCCCTCCCCTGAGACACACAGAGCTGGAGATTCAAGATCCCGAACTGGGGGTTCAAGGTCCTGGAGAAGGTCTCCGAGCTGGGGAGTTAAGGTCCCGGAGTTGTGGAGTTACGGTCCCGGAGCTGGGGTGTTAAGGTCCTGGAGCTGGGGACTAGGTTCCGGATCTGGGGATTTAAGGTCCCAGAGCTGGGGATTTAAGGTCCCGGAGCTGACGGTTCACGGTCCCGGAACGCGGAGAGTTCAGGTCCCGGAGCTGGGGACTTAAGGTTCCAGAGCCGGGGGCTCAATGTCTTGGAGCTGGGATGTTCAGGTCCGAGAGCTGGGATTTAAGGTCCCGGAGATTGAAGGTCCCGGAGCACGGAGACTTAAGGTCCCGGAGCTGGGGACTTATGAGGTCCCAGAGTTTGGGTTTCAAGGTCCCGGAGCGTGCTGGCAATTTAAGGTCCAGGGGTGCAGGGAGTTAAGGTCGCGGAGGGCGTCTACGCGGTGGTCGTTTAGTTGGAAAACGCTGCATGTATAATCTAACAGCGGCGAGCTGGCCCCTGAGTCGGCCCCAGCCGGCCCTTGAGTCGGCCCCAGCCGGCCCTTAAGTCGGCCCCAGCCGGCACGTAAGCGGCCCCGGGCCCAGCTGGCCCGTAAGTCGTCGGCCCCAGCCGGCCCATAAGTCAGCCCCAGCCGGCCCTTAAGGCGGCCCCAGCCGGCCCTTAAGTCGGCCCCAGCCGGCCCTTCAGTCGGCCCCAGCCGGCCTTTACGTCGGCCCCAGCCGGCATGCCCCACCCCAGCCAGCCTTTTTTTTGGTCCCCGCCGGCCCTTAACATTGAGTCGGCCGAAGGCCGGCACCTAAGGCGGCCCCAGCCGGCCCTTAAGTCGGCCCCCAGCCAGCCCGTCAGTCGGCCCCAGCTGGCCCATAAGTCGGCCCCGGTCGGCCCTTCACTCGGCCCCTGCCGGCCCGTAAGTCCGCCCCCAGCCGGCCCTTAAGTCGGCCCCAGCCGGCCCTTAAGTCGGCCCAAGCCGGCCCTTAAGTCGGCCCAGCAGGCCCTGTGGCCCCAGCCGGCCCTTAAGCGGCCCCCCGCGGGTGGCGAAGGTGCTTCGGTTTGGGTTCAGGCTCGCCCGAAATACAGCCCCGTCGGGCTCACATTTAAGGTCCTGGCAAGGACATGGTTAAGGTCCCGTGGGTGGTATTTTAAGGTCCCGTGGCTGGCATTTTAAGGTCCCGTGGAGCCCAGAGTGAAGGTCCTGGTGGGGTCATTTGTAAGGTAGGGTGTCAAGCAGCCGTGGGGGTGGTTTGAAGGTCCCGTGGGAGGCCCATGGAGGGGTTAAGTGCACGGCGAGTGTTAGGTGTTGCTGGGGCCCCATAAAGTAGAAGGGGAAGGAGGAGCAGGAGGAGGAGGGGAGGGGGAGGAGGAGGAGGTGGAGGAGGACGAGGAGCAGGAGGATTAGAAGGCGGCGGAGGAGGAGGAGGAGGAGGCGCAAGAGGAGAAACGATGGGGTGGGAGGGGGGGGCCATGAAGACGAAAAGGAGGAGGAGGAAGAGGAGGAAAAAGAGGAGGAGGAGGAGGAGGAGGAGGAGGAGGAGGAGGAGGAGGAGGAGGAGGAGGGAGGAGGAGGAGGGAGGAGGAGGAGGAGGAGGAGGAGGAGGAGGAGGAGGAGGAGGAGGAGGAGGAGGAGGGAGGAGGAGGAGGAGGAGGAGGAGGAGGAGGAGGAGGAGGAGGAGGGAGGAGGAGGAGGAGGAGGAGGAGGAGGAGGAGGAGGAGGAGGGAGCAGGCGAAGGAGAATGATGTTGTGGTGCAGGAGCAGGGGGACGAGGAGGAGGAGGAAAGGAAAGGAAAGAGGAGGAGGAGGAGGAGGAGGAGGAGAGGAGGAGGAGGAGGAGGAGGAGGAGGAGGAGGAGGAAGGCGGGCAGGCGCCAGGAGGAGGAGGAGGAGGAGGAGGAGGAGGGGAGGAGGAGGAGGAGGAGGAGGAGGACGAGGCCGATGAGGAGGAAGACGCAGTGGAGGCGGGGGGCGCAGGAGGCTGTGGCAGCACACCATCAGCAAGATGGGAAGGATGAGGACGAGGAGGATGGGGAGGAGTTGGAGGAGGAGAATGTGTAGGAGGATTTGGGCGTGGAGGTGGAGGTCCTGCTCGCGGCTTCCGGGCATTCCCCGCGGTTCTCCGCCAGGACATTGCAGCGGGGAATCCTCATTCCACGTTGCTTCATTGGATTTTTTGTTTCCTCCCTTGGTGGGCGCAGCTAGGGGCGGAGAGGGCGAGGCTTCGCCGCCGACCAGAGCTACGGCATCAACCGCGCGAAAAACCCCGAGGTGCTCTGGCCGTGGTGGCACGAGATCATGCGGAAGAAGGACCCTGATCGGGTGAGAGCACCGCTGGCCTGAAGAGTGGCGGTCCCAGCCCGGGCAGGCCTGAGCCACGGTGACGGCACAGCAGGGCCCGCGTCGGTGCGATCGATCTGATTCGACCTCGATTCCGTCCGGCCCGATCTGATTGCGATTGCGATTTCTTGGAGACCCGCCGTGCCGATGCGAGCCGATTCGATGTACGTTCCGGTGCGATCCGACTTCCGATTCGATGCTGACTGATCCTGCAGTTCTGTGGCACCAGCTCGTCGCTTGATCTTTAATGCCCTCGTCAGCCAGAGCCACGAGGACCGCTCGTTCCGACACGCGATCCAGCACGGTGGCCTCGGGTTGAGCGCCGCCTCTGCCCCTTGTGTGTGTGTGTGTGTGCTGTGTTGGGTTGGGTTGGGTTGCATTGCGTTGCGTTGCGTTGTGTTGTGTTGTGTTGTGTGTGTCTTCTGTGGCAGCTCATGGGAGCCTCGTACGTCCTCGAAATTCATCTTTTAGAGTGCCTTCGCGTGCGCTAGCGTCTGGTAGTCGACGAGAGAGCGCCCATTTTGTATCGATGGGCGTCGACTTGGCGTCGACCAGCGTCGCTTAGAGTCGATTGCTGGCGGCCAGCGTCGATTCGCAAGAGCAAGCAAGGTGACACGGGAGGCTCCCATGAGTTGCCACAGAAGGGGGGTGTCTCCTGACAGGGCTCGTGCAGAGGACGGCCAGTCGTCCCTCGGTGGCCCGAAACAGACAAGCACCCCCAACCTCTCCGTCCTCCTCCTCCTCCTCCTCCTCGCCTCTCCCTCTCTGGCCCGAGAGGGGCCTCGAGCGATCTCCCGGCGCCTGCAGGCGGCAACTGGGGGAGGAGGGGACTGCGAGCGAGCGAGCGAGCGAGCGAGCGAGCAGGCGAGCAACCGCTGGTCTGTTGGGGAGGAGGGGACTGCTGCAAGCGAGCGAGCAAGCAAGCATTGGGGAGGCGGGGACTGCTGCAAGCGAGCGAGCGAGCAAGCGAGCAACCATTGGGGAGGAGGGGACTGCTGCAAGCGAGCGAGCGAGCAAGCGAGCAAGCAATGGGGAGGAGGGGACTGCTGCAAGCGAGCGAGCGAGCAAGCGAGGAAGCATTGGGGAGGAGGGGACTGCTGCAAGCGAGCGAGCGAGCAAGCGAGCAAGCAGCGTGCAGCGCATCGGCTCAGCGGGCAGGGCTGCCGTAAGCCCAGGTGCGAGGTTTCGCCAGAGCGACGCGGAAAAACTAGGTCGTCTTCACCGACATTGGCGCGTCAGCTGCCCGCGAAAGGCAGCGCGTAAGCGGCCTCGTCTCCAATGCGGCGTGCCGCGCTGGTGGCCCGCGTAAACCGCGGCGCAAGGTGTCTATGTCGTCTCGCGTAAGACCCTTTACTTTTCGTGCACAGCAGAAGTACAGATCTGCGTCTTCACCTGCACTGTCGTCAAACATCTTGGGGAGGGGGGGTGACTGCTCCAGAAGAAGGCAGGGCCGCCATGCCACTCGAGCGCACACCTGGTGCCCGGCTGGTCGGCCACGGGGGAGCCCTCGAGCGCGAGGGCATGAGCGTTCTGCAGCAACTCGTGGGGGCCTAGTATGTCCTCGAGATTCCGACTTTCAAGCGCACTAGCGTGCGCTAGCGTCTGGCAGTCGACGAGAGATCGCCGATTTAGCGTAGGTTGGCGCCGATTTGGCGTCGATTAGCGTCGACTCGTGTCGATGAGCGTCGGCTGCAATCCTCCCATCCTAAGGAGGACTACCCACCTAACGTCACCCGGACCTCGGTGACACCGAGCCCGGCCCGCGCGAAGTGGGCGCGACACCTGCACTGTGGCGAAACGCTTATCTTGGAATGGTGCTCCAGTCACGGATCCCGATGGGGCCCTCGAGGGTCTCCGCGGACATGAGCCTTCTCCCCCCCTGCTCCGCTGCCAGTTGTGGAGCGCTGTGCGCCCGGAGCCATCGCAGCCCTTCCTGCCCACGAGTGGCACGTCCTGAGACGCCGGGCAAACAAAATCCGTGCCAAGAGTCGGCGGAGCTTTCCCCGTCACCCGGTGGACGGTCCGAACTGACGGTGGTTTGGAGGGGCGGCGGCCAGGAGCGAAGGGAGGTGCTGGCAGCGCCGACGCATGCAGTCCTGCGCGGGCATCCGAGAGCCGATGCTCCTGCGGCTTCCGCTCCTCGACCCAACCCCCCCGACGTCATTTACCAGCCTCGAACTTATCCCTATCCCTAAGATTGACACGCCAAAAGGCGATGACAATCTTAGGGATGCGCCCTCAAAAAATAAGGGAACCCCTAAGATTGGCATTCTGATGAGGAGATGCCCAGCATAGGGATAGGGATATGTTCCAGGCTGGTAAGTCATGATTTGTTTTCATGACGTCGACCCCCAGAAGCCTCGGCCCGTTCCCCGGGATCGGTCTCTCATCCCAGGCCGCTTTTGCCGGCCCCGAGGCCCGGTGGAGGGCCCCCAGAGGCCGAAGCCATCGCAAAGAGCCTCCCGCCGTGCTTTCTGCAGGGCCCGCGGGGGTCCGGCGTCCCCGCCGCCGCGAGGAGAACGGCGAGATCCCCATGGACATGCCGGGGTACATGCTCACCAAGTACCGCAACGAGTCAGAGCAGCGATGGAGCGCCGAGAAGGAGGACCCTCCTCCTCCTCCGCCTCCTCCTCCTCCGCCGCCTCCTCCTTCTCCTCCTCCTCCTCCTCTTCCTCCGCCGCCTCCTCCTTCTCCTCCTCCTCCTCCTCCTCCTCCTTCCTCCTCCTCCGCCGCCTCCTCCTTCTCCTCCTCCTCCTCCTCCTCCTCCTCCTCCTCTTTCTCCTCCTCCTCCTCCTCCTCCTCCTCCTCCGGAGGAGGAGGAGCCCCAACATGGCAAACAATTGCCCCCAAACATACTCCCCAGACCATTTTTGGACCATGTTTTGCTGATTGTTTTTTTTTTTATGTCTCGTCGAGGGGGACAGGCCCGACTTTACCATAGCCCCAGGGGGCGCACACTGTGCCGCAATGGGCCCGCGAAGGCCACTGCCGGGGTCGCCGCGCGTTCGCCCTTATAGCCCCTCGGCCGTCGCCCCGTCGTCCTCCCCCCCCCCCGCGCCTGCCCCCTCCTGCGGGGTGGCACACTCCGCTCGCCGCCTGCCCCGCTTCGCTCCCTCCGCCGGCGCAGCGACTCTGCGACGCCGCCGACGCGAAACAAGTGCTCGCCCTCGCGTGCTCGCCGCCGCCCGTCCTGCGTCGTCGTCGGCCCGCCCCGGGGGCCATGCGCGGCGCCTCCGTCGGGCCGCCGCGCGGCGCCCAGCCCGCGCCGCCATGGGCCCTGACGTCTCGGCCTGCTCCGCCTCGCCGGGAGCTGCCGCAGCACCGGGGCCTCTGCGCGGAGCGGCTCTCCCCAGACGCCCGGCTGCCGCTATCCCGCGTCGGCCGCGCGCGCGCATGCCGAATTCTCTCCAAGACCTCCATTGCGGGCGCGTGGGCGCCATCATCTTCATCGGCGTGGCCAGCATCGGCGCCTTCAGCGGCCTCGCCGCCGCCGCGGTCGTCATCGCCCTCATCCTCGCGCGTATTTCCATCGCGCCTGCCATTGTCGACGTCGCCATGGGGCGCCCGCCCGAGTCGCAGACTCGCGCTGCAGCGCCCGCGCGTCGGCGAGGCTTGCAAGACGTGCTGGGAAGGGCCCTGCGGCCAGCGCCATCGCTGCCGCGTCGGTCGCGCAAAGCCATTGCACGCGCGCGCGGGCCTGCGAGCGCAAGCTCGGCCGCAGCTCAGCGCCAGCCAGCGTCAAGCAGTCATCGCAATCGCAGCCGCGTGGATTTATCAGACCAAGTGCGGGTAGGTGGGTGCGGTGATTGTGACAGCAGTGGAGTTTTTTGTGTGTGTATATATATATATATGTATAAAGAGCATTCGGTTTCCCCTCCCCCCCTGGGCTTGCTGGCCCGCCTTGTTGTGCTGCAATTTACGTATGATTCTGGCCCGCCGTCTATTCGAAATGCGAACTCATGCCATCCCAGGTGGCCCCCTGTCTGCCCCGCTCTGCACCCTGTGCAGCGATGGTTATCCGCGACTTCGTTTAGCGCAGCATCATTTTTCAAGCGCCCGTTACAGCGAATGGGGCGAAGTGCGCGCGTCCGTCGTCGCGCGCGCATGCCGAGACCCTTGAACACCTCTGGGTTTCGCGGGGATGAACAAATCGAGCGCCCCGACACACTTACAACTAATGGTTTCGCAACAAGAATGTTTAACGGAAGCTTGTGCGTGCGCCCCCCCTGCGCATGCCGAGAAAGCAATCGTACTTTCAACGTTTTCACCAAAAGTCTATCAGGCGCGCCGCTCGCGCTCGAATTTGCTCGAGCGCCCTTGCGCGTGTGCTGTCGCAAGAACCCTTGGCAACGTAGTGGGCGAAGTGCACGCGCCCGCGTCGCCGCGCGCGCGTGCCGAAGTCCTTCCAAAATCCCAGGCGTCGCCAGGGCCTCAACGCCGAGTGCCCGGACAACGCGTGAAACGCATTTGTTGGCAACGTCGTTTTTCAAAACGCGCGCCCGCGCTCTTGCGCGTTCCAGAGAAGGACGCTAAACGTGCAATTCGACCAAGCGGCCTCTCGCGCCGCATGTCGAAATCATTCGCGCGGCCCTGTGCGCGTGCACGGGGGCGGGGCGGGGATCCTGTCGGACGATGCCGCTCGCGCGCCCCGGCCGCGCGCGCACGCCAAATTCTCTCCAGGGTCATCATCGCCGACGCGAGGACATCGTCATCGTCATCGGCGCGATCAGCATCGGTGCTGTCATTGGCATTGCCGTCGTCATCGTCGCCATTGTCGCCGTCGTCGCTGCTGTCGTCGTCGCGTCTACCATTGTCGACGTCGCCATGATTTGCCGCGCCCTTCAAGTCGCGGATTCGCATTGAAGCGCCCGCTGGGCAGCGCTATGCGGTCAGCGCCACCGTGGCCGCGCCGGTCGCGCCAAGCAAACTGGCCGTTGCGCGCGCGAGCACGCGCGGGCTGGCGCGGCCGCAGAAATGCACCAACCAACGCCGAGCACTCGCCGCATTCGCCGCCGCATGGGTTTTGCAAACCAAGCTGCGGGTGGGTGGGTGGGATGATTGCGCGAGCATTGGAGTTGACAAATCCACGTTTTTCCGAATTAAATGCGCCACATCTATTCTTCGTTCTAAAAACAGTTTGGATCTTCTCCGCCCTGGGATTATCGATCCAGCCCAGGGATGTGCAGTTTACATCTGCGTGTCTGCTTCGTCGTTCATTCTGGACATGAACTCATGTCATCCCAGCCAGACCCGGCCCCTTCCGCCATCTTTGTTAATTAAAACGATGCGCGCGATTTCTTTTTTTTAGCGGCCATCAGTTTGCGGGATTTTTCAGCAGACGGGACGAAATGCACACGCGCGCGCCGTCGCGCGCGCATGCCGCAATCATTCAAGCACTGTAGGTTTCGTACGGATTTCATAACCGAGCGCCCCAGGAAAAGCAAACAAACACTGCATGGTTTTGCAACGTGGTTTTTCTAAAAAGTCTACGCGTCTGCTGTTGCGAGTTTTGATGCCGACCACGAGTTTTTCATCAAACGCGACCACGCGGGCCTTTGGCGCTCGCATGCCGTTGCGCGCGTGCTGGGGGGGGTGGGGTGGGCACGAAACCGTTCAAATGTCACCATGCTGGCCACTCGCGCCCGTCGGCCGCGCGCGCATGTCGAATCTCTCCAGAATCTTCATCGCCGACGCGTGGACATCATTATCGTCACCGGCGTAATCAGCATCAGCGCCCCCCTTGGCATCGCCGTCGTCATCGTCATCGTCGTCACCTGCATCGTTGTTTTCGTCGTGTCTGCAGTTGTTCGAGAGTCATGATGTGCCGCGCCCGCCCAGTCACCGACCTGCACTGATGCGCCCGCGCGCCAGCACGGCCTGCTGGACGCGCTGGGAAGTGCCCAGCGGCCAGCGCAGCCGTGGCCGCGTCGGTCGCGCCAGACTAAGTGGCATGTCCTGCGCGCGATCCTGCGCGCCCCCTGCGCGGCCGCAGCGGTGCGCCAGCCACCGCCGTGCACATGTGGTAATTTTTCTGCCGCGTGGGTTTTGCAAGCCAAATTGCATTGGGGTGGGGAGGATGATTGCGCGAGCAGTTGAGTGAGGAGAACGTCAAGTTCGGGGGGGTGGGTCGCATTGGGTAGATTGTTGCAGTACGTACACAGCCCCGCATATATGGCACCCGTAGAGACCACATAGATTGCACCACTTGCTGGACGACGTAGACCCGACAACACAGATGGCACAGCGCAAGTTGCACCGCATACGTTGCACAACGTAGATTGCACAACGTAGATTGCGCAACGTTGATTGCACAACATAGGTCGCACAACATCGATTGCTCAACATAGATCGCACCGTATGTGTTGCACCAAGTCTATTGAGCCACATATACTGTTCCACGTAGGTTGCACAGCGTAGGTTGCTAAACTCATGGTTATGTGTCCACGCCGGTTACTATATACATATAACGGCGCACCGGGTCCGGGGGCCCGGGGCCGGGACCCCGACCACAAATGTGGGCCCCGGGGGGCCCGGAGGCTCGTCGGACCGCCGGACGCCGTCCAAGATCGTTCGCAGGCGGCTTCGGAACGCGCTCCGATGGCTCCAGATGCCTTCCAAGACGCCTGTCATGACACCAAGAAGGTCCCAGAAGCCTCCAAGACGCTCCGAGAGGCAGCCCAAGAGAGGCCCAAGAAGCAAAAATCGTGCCATTCCTATGGGAAAACGTCTATTTTTCGCATGTTCGCCTCTTGGGCTTTCACCGCGTCCAAGACGGCCCAAGAGGCGCCCAAGACGGTCTACGAGGCCTCCGGGAGCGCTCCAAGGCTGCGCACGAGTGGCCCAGGACGGCCCCAAGACGGCCGAAGAGAGCCCCAAGACGAGTTCGAGAGGGGTCCCAGACGGAGAAAGCCAACCTCGAATTCCGAGCTTCCGGCCCAAGAGGCTCCAGGAGGCGCCAAAATGCCGCCAAGAGGCGCCAAAAGGCTCCCAAAAGCACCCCAAGACGTTCCGAGAGGCACCCCAAGAGAGGTCCAAGAAACAAAAATCGTGCCATTCCTATGGGAAAACGTATATTTTTCGCATGTTCGCATCTTGGGCTTTCACCGCGTCCAAGACGGCCCAAGAGGCCTCCAAGACGGCCTAGGAGGCCTCCGGGAGCGCTCCAAGGCTGCGCACGAGTGGCTCAGGACGGCCCCAAGACGGCCCAAGAGAACCCCAAGACGACTTCGAGAGGGGTCCCAGAAGGAGAAAGCCACTCTCGAATTCCGAGCTTCCGGCCCAACATATCCCAGGAGGCGCCAAAACGCCGCCCAGAGGCGCCAAAAGGCTTCCAAAATCAGCCCAAGACGTTCCGAGAGGCACCCCAAGAGAGGTCCAAGAAACAAAAATCGTGCCATTCCTATGGGAAAACGTATATTTTTCGCATGTTCGCATCTTGGGCTTTCACCGCGTCCAAGACGGCCCAAGAGGCCTCCAAGACCGCCCCAAGACGGCCCAAGAAGCTTCCAAGAGGGCCCCAGGACAGCCCAAGAGGGCCCCAAGACGGCCCAAGAGGCGCCCAAGATGGCCCAAGAGGGCCCCAAGACGGGCCCAAGAGGGGGCCCAGAGGGGGACCACGAACCGCAAGCTCGAGCCTTCCGCCCCAAGAGGCCGCCAGGAGGCCCCAAGGAGGCCCCTCAAGAGGCCCCAGGAGACCCCCAAGAGGCCCAAAGGAGGCCCCGAGAAGCCCCAAATCGGCCCCCAAAATGCTTCGAACCTGCTTCCAGGAGGCCCCCGACAGGTTCAGAGGCTCCCGAGAAGCTACGTCAAACTCCCAGCGAGCGGCCGGACGAGGCCCCCCACAAAATCACAAGAGGGTTCCAGTATTTGTATCCTTCAGCGCTCTCTGGCCTTCTTCCCCCTGCCCCCTTCCCTGCGACTTTCGTTGACTCCAGCTCGCCTCCTAGCTAGAACCTAAGCGCGCGCGAAGCGCGCGCGTGGTTCTAGTATAGATGTATCTACGTATGCATGTATGTATGCATGCATGCATGCATGCATGCATGCATGCATGTATGTATGTATGTATGTATGTATGTATGTCTGTATGTATGTATGTATGTATGTATAAATATGTACATGTACAAATGTATGTATACACACCGTTTCTATTTTTTGGAGAGGGGACCCATATGGGTGCGGGCAGTCTGTTTCGACAGCTAGCGCGGACACGTGGATGCCGCTCGTCACCGAAAGCTAGGTTAAAAGATATCGGGATGAGGCCAGGGATGCACGGCTCAAGCGAGAAAACGATTGCATGACATCTTTTTTTTCTTCCGCGCCGAACAGGCGAACACAAGCACACACAGTACGCCGAAGGAGATGATGCAGATGAGCAACGCAATTCCGCGTGTGCTCTGTATAATGACCTAAGAAATACCGAATCAAACAACTCAATCCATCCGCAGACACCTGTACGTGTGTACATATATATATGTATATATATATATATGTATACATATATTTTTATATAACATGTATATTGTACTGCTGCGTTTCGCCGCGTTTCCGCTACAATTCAATGTCGGGCATTGGAAAGCCGTTGGGTCTAAATGTGATCAGTTGCGCCGCAGGCCTCAAGAGACTCCTCAGTGGGCCTCCGTGGCATTCTTGCAGGGGGCAGGGTTGTCATGATGGCTGCGGTTCTAGTCGGTCCTTCGGCTTCAAGGCCGTCTGTCACCACCGTGGCCCCAGGAAGACAGAAACGATGATCATGAGAAAGCGAGGGGGGTTGACTTCAATTGCCGCGTAGAATTGTGCTCACGAGGCTTCGGAATCCCAGGCGGCGTGTCCTCGTCGCCCCACGGGCGCGCCGCTGGCGGGGGCCGCCGGGAGATCAGGAGAAGTTCGGCGAGTTCATGAACGCTATGAGCGCGGAGGAGGAGTGAGCTGGCCCGGCCTTGCCGCCGGAGGAGGCCACCATGGCCTGCGAGCTCTCCCAAACGAGGGGTCGTGTCGGAGGAGAAAACAGTGGCGCCGCATGTTCCCGATCTTTGGGCAGGGCAGTGATAGCCGTCGCTCGACGCGCGCTGAAGCTCCCCATCCTCCTCCCACATACGGAACATCAAATTGGGCATCACAAGGCAGGTGGCCAGCGGACTTTTCTAATCCCCCGATGGCCCCAGGGGTCCACAAGAGCTGTGGGGAATTCCAGGACCCCGAAGGATCGACGCAGAACGTGCTCCAAGGTTCCTGATTGCAAGATTTCTTATTGTATGTGTCTACTGTCGGGGGTGGCCAAGAGTTGATGACTAGTGGGTAATGGAGGATGACGATCAATAAATGACCGGGGGTCGTGTTCACGCGGCGGCGCCTGGGATGACGATTAGAAAAAACCGGCCGCGGGCTGGAAAACTATTTTTAACCGTTCTCCTCCAGTCAGAAAATAGCAGAAATAGCAGAAACTATTTTTTTGATCGTTCTCTCACATTTTTTTTGTTAACCGTCATCCCGCATTATCAAGGCCGGGGCCATGATATCTCCCTAGATCTCATTGCTCCTCTTCTTAGTTCAATGCGTCCCTTAGCCCCCGCATGCGTCGGGCCATGATTTGCGACCCCCCCTCTCTCGGAGGCCTTCAGTAGGGGCGTTGACCTAAGGAACCCTAAATAAGGAACGAGGCCTCTTTTTCCCATAATTTTAACTTCGATTTCCCATCGAAGCCTCAAGCAAAGCCAAAGGCGAACTGCAAAACAAGTAAGGAACACCGAGCCCCTCCCCAACGAAAAGGGTTCCTTCCTCAGTGCCCCGACTGTAGAGGTTGAAACCAACCCCAATATCGGCGGTGTGCCTCCACCGAGGGAAGATGATGATCCAGATCTCGGTGACGTTGTCAACATTCGGGC